AATGGAATGCAGATGGCCTTCCCTTTGCCACAGCGCCTTCTGTGGTGGAGACCCACGACACAGATGACACAGACTGGGACTCTTTCTGGCTACATCTCACCTGCTTCTTTCAGGAAGGTTCCCTTAGGTTTATACTTCTTATCCTGACCCTTACATTGATCCCTTTCCTTCTTGAAAAACCTGTAAACCAGCCCTGTTTGCTAGGACTGAGTGCTTTCCCTTGATTACAATCCATATCCGTGGGTGAGATCCTCTATTCCACCAACCGATTTTCAATCCTCAGTCGGTTGACTCGAACCATGCAGAACCGAGGATGTGGAGGGTCGACTGTACTGGCTAGTTCATATAAAAGACTTGAACATCCACGGAGTTTGGTATCTGCAGGGGGTACTGGAACCAATCTCCCTCGGATACCAAAGGACTATTGTAATTTCCCTTGATTTGGGGCTCAGATATTTGTTTTCTAACATAGTCCTCTCATCTTGATGTGGAAGGTCTAGCTAGCATAGGCAGAAATATGAAGTCAGTGAGTTACTGAATTATCAGACCGTTCATTGTTTAGCGAAAGCTTGCCCATTTTCACCTCCTTGACTCGGATAAACTCATCTAGGTTGCCCTCTCCCAATCACCCCATCATGTACTTCATGAGGGGGTCAATCGCTTTTGTCTTCCTTGGTTCCTTTTAGTGTTTCTCCTCTTCTCTGTGCTTCTTTCCTTTTTTAAAAATGCATTTTCTTTTCTAATTAATTAATTTATTTTTGGCTGTGTTGGGTCTTTGTCGCTGTGCACGGGCATTCTCTAGTTTCGACGAGTGGGGGCTACTCTTCGTTGCGGTGCGTGGCTTCTCACTGCAGTGGCTTCTCTTGCTGCGGAGCATGGGCTCTAGGTGCAGGGGCTTCAGTAGCTGTGGCACGTGGGTTCAGTAGTTGTGCCTCGTGGGCTGTAGAGCGCAGGCTCAGTAGTTGTGGTGCATGGGCTTAGTTGCTCCGCGGCATGTGGGATCTTCCCGGACCAGGGCTCGAACCCGTGTCCCCTGCATTGGCAGGCAGATTCTTAACCACTGCTCCACCAGGGAAGTCCTGTGCTTCTTTTTTGAGGAGACTTAACTCTAGAAGTTCTTGGTCCCCTAGGGCTCAGGAAATACATTGGCAGTGGGCAGGGTGGTTGCTGAATAAAATGAAGTGTGCTCAGACACAAGTGTTTAGGGGCAGCTATCTCATCACTGAATTCTTTAGTGGAGAAGCCATACTGGCCACTTTAATAAATAAGCCCCAACATTTTAGTGGCTTACCACAACGAAAGTGTGTTTCTCACTCATGTAACAGTCACTGTAGATGTTCCTGGTGAGTGAGTACCTATCCTGACCATGGTGATTCAGGGACCCAGGTTCCTGCCAACTTATGGTGTCACAGTCCAAATGGCCTCTTTTGTTGCCTGTGTCTAGGTGGCAGATGGGACAGAGAACTTCTTAAAGGTCTTGGCCTATAGGTGAAACACATCACTTCCATGCATATTTTGTAGTCGACTACTGATCTCATTGTCACATGTGTAAGTCAAAGGAATTAGAAAATGTAGTCCTTGATAGGGCAGTCATGTTTCAATTAAATTCCATATTACGGAAAGGTAGCACAATGTTGGTTGAAGCAAGCACTCAATGTCACTTCTTTACATTACATTAAAATACATTTCCAGATGGATCAATATTTAAATGCACATTTTCTCCTCTTCAGCAAGTGGTATTGGGAAAGCTGGACAGCCATTGTAAATCAATGAAGTTAAAACACATCCTCTGGGCTTCCCTGGTGGTGCAGTGGTTGAGAGTCCGCCTGCCGATGCAGGGGACACGGGTTCGTGCCCTGGTCCGGGAAGATCCCACATGCCATGGAGTGGCTGGGCCCATGAGCCATGGCCGCTGAGCCTGCACGTCCGGAGCCTGTGCTCCGCAACGGGAGAGGCCGCAACAGTGAGAGGCCCGCGTACCGCAAAAAAGAAAAAAAAAAACACACACCCTCTCACCATACAAAAAAATAAACTCAAAATAGCTTAAAGACTTGTTAACATGACACCATAAAACTCTTAGAACATAGGCAAAACATTCTCTGACATAAATCATGCCAATGTTTTCTTAGGTCAATCTCCCAAGGCATTAGAAATAAAAACAAAAATAAACAAGTGGGACCTAATCAAACTTACAAGCTTTTGAACAGCAAAGGAAACCATAAATAAAGCAAAAAGACAACCTACAGAATGGGAGAAAATATTTGCAAATGATGTGACTGACAAAGGCTTAATTTCCAAAATATAAAAACAGCTCATACAACTCAATAACAAAAAAAACAAACAACCCAATCAAAAAATGGGCAGAAGACTTAAATAGACAGCTCTCCAAAGAAGACACACAGATGGCCAATAGGCACATGAAAAGCTGCTCAACATTGCTAAAAATTATTAGAGAAATGCAAATCAAAACTACAATGAGCTACCACCTCACACCAGTCAGAATGGCCATTATTAAAGAGTCTACAAATAACAAATGCTGGAGAAGGTGTGGAGAAAAGGCAACCCTCCTAAACTGTTGGTAGGAATGTAAATTGGTGCAGCCACTATAGAAAACAGCATGGCAGTTCCTTAAAAAACTAAAAATAGAACTACCATATGATCCAGCAATCCCACTCCTGGGCATATATCCAGAGAAAACTCTAATTCAAACAGATATACGCACCCTAATGTTCACAGCAGCACTATTTACAATAGCCAAGGCATAGAAGCAACCTAAATGTCCGTTGACAGATGAATGAATAAAAAAAGATGTAGTACATATACACAACGGAATACTACTCAGCCATGAAAAAGAATGAAATAATGCCATTTGCAGCAACATGATTGGACCTAGAGATTATTATACTAAGTGAAGTAAGTCAGAAAGAGAAAGATAAATACCATATGATATCACTTATATATGGAATCTAAAATATGACACAAATGAACTTATTTTTGAAACAGAAACAGACATAGAAAACAAACTTATGGTTACCAAAGGGTAAAGGGGGTGGGGCAGGGGTAAATTAGGAGTTTGGGATTAGCAGAGACAAACTACTATATATAAAATAGATAAACAACAAGATCCTACTGGATATTGACTGTATTCAACATCCTGTAATAAACCAAAATGGAAAAGAATATGAAAAAGAATATGTATTTATATGTATAACTGAATCACTTTGCTGTATACCAGAAACTAACACAACATTGTAAATCAACTATACTTCAGTAATAAAAAAAAGGAGTGAATTTTAAAAATTTAAAGTAGATTATAATCACTGAAAGGGAAACAGCTGTCTATTATGAAACAAAATCCAGAAGTCATTTTAAAAACATTAGTTAATTCAACTACAAACAGAAGGCATGGCAACCAGCAAAATGGGGATGGGAGAGTAGGGGGGTGGGGAGACTCATGACTCAAAACGGTCATTTCATTAGTATATGAATGGTTTCTATAATCAAGAAGAAAATTCTAACGGTCCAAAAGGGAAACCAGGAAAAGATATAAGATGATAGTTCACCCAGAGAGGAAATATGGTGAGTCTAAGCAACAAATTAAAAAAGTAAAATCAAAATAAGATACCAGTGGCACAAATCAAACATTTTAATGACATTCTGGGACAGGCTGTGGCAAAACAAAACTTCATGAACTGCTTATGAGGGTGTAAACTGATACAGCTTCTATGGATTTTATCATTAACTCTGGAATTTAAAATGGGATATCCTTGGGCTTCCCTGGTGGCGCAGTGGTTGAGGGTCCACCTGCTGATGCAGGGGTCACGAGTTCGTGCCCCGGTCCGGGAAGACCCCACATGCCGCGGAGCGGCTAGGCCTGTGAGCCATGGCCGCTGAGCCTGCGTGTCCGGAGCCTGTGCTCCGCAACGGGAGAGGCCACAACAGTGAGAGGCCCGCGTACCGCCAAAAAAAAAAAAAAAGGGGATATCCTTTGGCCCAGTAAATCCCTTTCTACAAAAACATCTCACAAATATAGTTCTTGTGCTCTAAGTAAAAGACATTCATTCACTTAGCACTGTTTATATCAGCAAAACACTCTAAAAGACCCACAGATCTATCAATAGGGTTATGGCTCATTAATTTATGTTTCACCCATACCCTGGAAAATTATAAAGCAATTCAAAAGAGTAAGATAAGTCTACATGCAGTCAAGTTAAGATCCTTTGACATATTTGGTGAACAATGTAATCTGCATACACAGTGCAATAACACTCAAGGAAAAGATATACCTCCATATATTTTGATATGCCTGCAAATGCAAAGAAAACGGTTTGAAAGGATAAACACCCACTTTTTAACACTTCCGTTAAGAGGAGGAATGGGACAGAAGGAAGTTTTAGGGTTGGCTTCTGGGTTATTTTCTTCTTTTTCACTTTTCATTCTATGCATTTACTTCTAACTTTTTACAAGGGGAATGTTATGTCTGTAGTTAAAGAATAAAAACAACTAAATTAGGTGTACCAGGTTCACCAAAGCCTTACCCTGAGAACCATGCTTCTGGATGATCCCCCCAAAGGTAAAAGCTGCCACTTAGAACACATGACATATCTGTGCTATTTGTGTGTGTGTGTGTGTGTGTGTGTGTGCGCGCGCGCGCGCGCGCGGGGGGGGGGGGGGGGGGGGGGGGCGACCGTGAACCAGCCAAATTCTGCCAATAATTTGTGAGTCCTGTAGGACAGGCACGATTCCATTCGCCGGTAAGACGTGTTTCTTGTATTCACTGAATCGTGAGAGGCTGGGCGCAGGGACACATTTGGGGCTGGTTAGGCTGCCATGTGGCCGCCAGCGAAGCTCCAGCCTCCGGGCGCGAGCAGCCCGGGCTCAAACAGACTCCCTCAGAATTTCTCCAGGAAACCGTCGGGTGGGTGGAGATGGGCGCTCCGTCCAGCAGCGCCCTTCCAATCTGCTGTCCTGTTTGAGAACGTCGCCTTTCTTTCCCGGAAATGAGCCTTATTGCAGCTAAGGTTGCGCCAGAGGCGGCGCCCGGGCGGGAGGCGGGGCAGGAACCGGGGCCCGTAGCTCAGGGGCCGGAGGCGGGGCCGGGGCCGGACTCGGAGAGACGGCCGTAGCCGCCGGCAGGGCCCGGCTCCGAGCCTCTCCCGGCTGCAGAGCCCGAGCCGGAGCCGGTCTCGGCGTCGGGTCCGGGACGGGAGCTCGAGCTGGGCTGGGCTGCGGGGCAGCGCGCAGGGGCCCCGCCGGAGTCGCAGCCTCTGCCGGCGTCGGAGTCTGAGAACGGAGTGTCCGAGAGGCCCCGCTGCCACACCGACTGCCTGGAGGTGCCGCTCTCCTGGGCCTTCCGGCGGCTGGGATGGGAGGTGGGCTCGCACCCCTGGATCTTCTTGCTGCTGCCCATGGTTTTAACGGCCGTCCTCGGCGCTGGCCTGATTCACCTGCCCAAGGAAGAAGACCTCGAGGAGCAGTACACCCCGATAGGGAGCCCCGCCAAGGCTGAGCGACGCTTCGTGCAGGGACATTTCACCGCCAACGACTCCAATCTCTTCTCCATCGCCAGGAAGAGCACCGGGGTCAATTATGCTTCCATTCTAGTGATCTCCAACACCAACTCGCTGCTGGAACAAGAAACCTTGTCAGAAATTAGTGAAGTGGACGACGCGGTTCAGGCTTTGACTGTGACACAGGCAAACGGAACCCAGATCCTCTACAATGAGGTGTACTCGAAGAACCAGGGCTACTGTGTACCCTCCCACCCACTCTTGTTCGCCTGGAAAACGAACAGTGTCCTCAACCTGAAAAACATCACCTTCCCCATCTACAGCCTAGCCGGCCAGGTCGTGTACCTGGCCAACATCCTTGGAGGAACTGTGTTAGGCGAGAGCATGGGACTGAGCCAGTTACTCCTGGAGGCCAAAGCCATGCGGCTGCAGTACTACCTGAAGACTGGCGAAGGAGAGGACAGCGAACGCAGCAAGACGTGGCTGATCCACTTCCTGAACCAAGTTGGCAACCTTGAAAAGAGTCTGGCCTTGAAGAAGATCCAGGTACCTAGCGGCTGGGGCTTTACAGGGAGGCTAGGAGAAGGTGGGAGGGATAAGAAGACTTGTTCCAACAGCACTCCCTAATTACTTGATGGAGCCCTTGACTTGAAGCTGGGTGTGTTCTGCTGTATTTGGTCCTTAATCCAACTTTCGTAACATAGCGCACTGAAGAATGCCACAAAAGAATCTAAAAGAGTGGATATATGCATATGTATAACTGATTCACTTTGCTGTACACCTGAAACTAACACATAATTGTAAATCAACTATACAACAAAATTTTTTAAAAATAAAATAAAATAAAAAAGAGAGCTAAGACCTAAAAAAAAAAAAAAGCCAGAAATCTTAAATCCTTGGTAACGTTTTGCTGAAAAACACAAATTGTACATCCTCAAGGTGGTTCTGTTCAGTACAGACATTGATCTTAAGGTTTAGTTCGGTTTTCTGGTCAAATTACTTTGAAATTTTTACTTTTAGTTAAAGTCTTTGCTGTTTCTGGGAGCCCCCTAAAATTTGTTTAGAGTTCAGTGGAATAAAAAAAACCAAATATATAAGCAAAAGTTCCATGGTTTTGTTGAAAAAGAATGCTGAGCATTTAAAAAGTAAATTATAGCATAGTGCCAGGCACATGGTAGCTGTTCAGTAATTGCTGGGCTGGCAAACCTAATACTCTGAACAAAACTGGTGAAAGTGAGACACCTTCTGGAAAAAGCCTTTGAATACCCAGTCCTTAATGAAATGATATTTGTGCAGTTAAAATAGTAAAAGATAACAACCTAATAAAAATTTAGAAAAAGCCAAAATGTCTATAGTTATCACTGATTTTTTTATATAAGATTCAGATTTCATATATTCAGGAGTTTTAAACTTTAGATTTTTGAAATAAACTTTGGAAAGCATGCCAGAGATTTGTGGGAAGAAGCAAATCTTTATTACCTTCTTTATTCTAAAATCATAATCCACATAGTTTGATTCTTTACTGAATTTTAATGTTTCAATCAATAAGCTATAGTGTTTCAATATCATTTGTAACACACACAGTATCAGAATTAAAAGTTACTTATCTGAGTATCTTTTTGTGGCAGGTGGTCTACTTTACATCACTTTCTAGACAACTGGAATTTGAGGCAACTTCTATGACAGTGATCCCCTTGTTTCACTTGGCATACCTTCTAATCATATTATTTGCAGTCACATCATGCTACAGGTAAAAGACTTTTATTAGTTTTTTAAACACTAACTTTAAAAAATATTTTATTGTGGTAATATATATGTATATAATGTATATATAATATATGTAACATAAAATGTACCATTTTAAAAACCATTAAAAAACAGTTACTTATTTATTTAATTATTTGGCTATGCCAGGTCTTAGTTGCGGCACATGGGATCTTTATTTGCAGCATGTGGGCTCTTAGTTGTGGCATGCAGGCTCTTAGTTGTGGCATGCGGGATCTAGTTTCCTGACCAGGGATCCAACCTGGGCCCCGTGCACTGGGAGCATGGAGTCTTGACCACTGGACCACCAGGGAAGTCCCTAAAAACCATTTTTAAGTGTACAATTTAGTGGCATTAATTACATTCACACTGTTGTGCAACCATCACAATTATCTCTTTATAAATATGTTCCATCACCCCAAACAGAAACTCTGTAACCATTAAGCAATAACTCCCCATTGTCTCCCCCAAGTCTTGGTTACTCTTTAATCTACTTTTTGTTTCCATGATTTTGCCTATTGTAGAGATTTCATATAAGTGGAATCATACAGTATTTGTCCTTTTGTGACTGGCTTATTTCACTTAGCATAATGTTTTCAAGGCTTATCCATGTTGTAGCATGAATTCCTTTTTATGGCTGAATAATATTCCATTTTATGTATATACCACATTTTATCTACTTATCTGTTTATGGGCCCTTGGAATATTTCCATCTTCTGACTATAGTGAATAATGCTGCAATGAACGTTGGTGTACAAATCTCTGTTTGAACTTGTTTTCAATTCTTTTCAGCATATACCTTGGAGTAGAATTAGTGGGTTGTATGATAATTCTCTGGTTAGCTTTTTGAAGAACCACCAAACTATTTTTCACAGAGGCTACACCATTTTATATCCCACCAGCAATGTGTAGGTTTTCCAATTTCTCCACATCCTCACCAACACTTATTTTCTGTTTTATTGATTATAGCCATCCTTGTAGGTATAAAGTGACATCTCATTGTGGTTTTGATTTGCATTTCCCTAGTAACTAATGATGTTAAGTATCTTTTTTATGTGTTTACTGGTCATTTGTATATCTTCTTTGGAGAAGTGTCTATTCAGGTCCTTTGCCCTTTTTTTTTTTTTTTTTTTTTTGTTTGTGCCACACAGCTTGCAGGATCTTAGTTTCCTGACCAGGGATTGAACTCGGGCCCTTGGCAGTGAGAGTGTGGAGTCCTAACCACTGGACTGCCAGGAAATTCCCACATTTGCCTATTTTTAATGAAATTGTTTGTCCTTTTGTTGTGTTGAGTCCTATTGTTGATGAGTACTTTATATATTTTAGATATTAAATCCTTATCAAGATATATGATTTGCAAATATTTTCTCCCACTCTGTAGATTATCTCTTTACTTTCTTGATAATGTCCTTTAATGCACAAAAGTTTTAATTTTGATGAAATTCAACTTATTTATTTTTATTTTTGCTACTTGTGTTTTGGTGTTATATCTAAGAATCCATTGACAAGTCCAAGGTCATGCACATTTACCCTGTGTTTCCTTCAAGAGTTTTATGGTTTTAGCTCTGAAATTTAGGTGATTGCAATTTTTAATTCATAGTTGTATGTCATGTGGAGTAGAGGTCCAACTTAATTCTTGTACATGTGGAAATTCAGTTGTCCAAGTACCATTTGTTGAAGAGACTGTTCTTTCCCAGTTGAATGGACTTGGCATCCTTGTCAAAAATCAATGGGCTGTAGATGTATGGGTTTATTTCCAGAAGCTCAGTTCTAGTCCATTGGTCTATATGTCAATCCATATACTAGTACCACTCTGTTTTAATTATTTAGCTTTTTTATAAGTTTTGAAATCTGGAAATCTCAGCTGTCCATTTTTTTTTTAATTTTAAGGTTATTTTGGATATCCAGGGCTCCTTGTAATTCCATATGAATTTGAGTGTTGCCCTTTCCATTTCTGGAAGAAAACGCCATTGGAATTTTGATAGAGATTGTGTTGAATCTGTAGATTGCTTTGGTGAGATTGTCATTTTGACAATATTAAGTCTTCCTCCCCATGAACTAAGAATGTCTTTCCATTAATTTAGGTCTTCTTTAGTTTTCATCAATGTTTTGTAGTTTTCAGCATACACGTCTTTCACTTCTTTGGTAAAATGCATTCCTAAGTATTTCATTATTTTAAACACTAAATGGAATTACTTCTTTAAGTTCGCTTTGAGATTGTTCATTGTGCATGGATAGAAACCGCTGAATCCTGTGTGTTTATCTTATAACCTGCAGATTTACTGAATTTGTTTACTAATGTTAGTAGTTTTCTTGTGGGGTCTTTGGATTTTTCATATATATAATCATATAATCGGTGCAAAGAGATAGTTACAATTCTTCCTTTCCAATTTGAATTCCTTTTATTTCGATTTCTTGTCTAATTGCTCTGGCTAGCACTTCCAGTACAATGTTGAATATCATTGGTGAAAGTGGGCATCGTTATCTTGTTCCTGATCTAAGGTGGAAAGCTTTCCATTTTTCACCATTGAGTATGATGTTAGCTATGCAGTTTTCATTATTGACTTTATAACTTTGAGGAACTTTCCTTCCATTCCTTGTTTTTGAGTGTTTTTATCATGCAAAGATATTGGAATTTGTCAAATGCCTTTTCTGCATCTTTTGAGATGATCATGTGGTTTTTATCCTTTGTTCTATTAGTGTGGCGTATTACATTGATTGATTTTCCCATGTTGAACCACTCTTGCATTCCTGGGGTAAATCCCATATGGTCATGATGTATAATCCTTTCAGTATGCTATTGAATTGTGTTTGCTAGAATTTTATTGAGGATTTTTGTATCTATATTTCTAAGAGGTATTATCTGTAGCTTTCTTGTGATACCTTTGTGTGGAATTGATATCAATGTAATGATGGCCTCATCATATGAGTTAGGAAGTGTTCCCTTCCTTTCAACTTTTTGGAAGGGTTTGAAAAGGATTGGTATTAATTCTTCTTTACATGTTTGGTAAAATTCACTAGTGAAGCCATCTGGTCCTGGACTTTTTTTGTTGGGAGGTTTTTGATTACTGATTCAATCCTTTTACTTGTTACATGTCTGTTGAAATGTTCTGTTTCATCTTGAGTCAGTTTAGGTCTTTGTGTATTTCTAGGAATTTGTGCATTTTATCTAGGTTATCCAGTTTGTTGGCATAAGTTGTTAATAGTAGTCTCTTATAATCCTTTACATTTCTGTAAGTTCAGTAGTAATGTCCTCACTTTCATATCTGATTTAGTTATTTGTATCTTTTTTATTTTCTCCTTTGTCACTCTAGATAAATGTTTGTCAATTTTGTTGATCTTTTTCAATAACCACTTTTGGTTTTGTCTATTTTCTATTCTCAATTTTATTTATCACTGTTCTAATCTTTATTATTTTCTTCCTTCTGTTAGCTTTGTGTTAGGTTTTCTCTTCTTTTTCTGGTTCCACAAGATGTCTAAATCCACAAAGTGGTTTGAGATCTTTTCTCTTTTTTAATGTAGCTATAAATTTACCTCTGGGCACTGGTGTCACTACATCTCATAAGTTATGGTATTTTGTATGTTTGTTTTCATTTTCCTTATAAATTATCTGCCTAGATGTTTTATCCATTATTGAAAGTGATGTATTGAATTTGCCAACTATTACTGTAGAGCTATATATTTCTCTCTACAATTCTGTTAATATTTGCTTCATATATTTTGGGTCTCTGTTTTGTGGTTAATTTATGTTTATAGTTGTTATATCTTCCTGATTCATTGGCCTTTTTATCAATATATAGTGTCCCTCTGTCTCTTTTAACAGTTTTTGAAATAAAGTCTATTTTTGTCTGATATCAGTATAGCCACCCCTGATCTCTTTTGGTTACTATTCATATGGAGTATCTTTTTAAATCCTCTAACTTTCAATCTATTCATGTCTTTGATATAAAGTGAGTCTCTTGTACACAGCATATAGTTGAATCATGCTGTTTTATCCATTCTGACAATATCTGCCTTTTGATTGGAAAGTTTAATTTATTTAGATTTAAAATAATTGCTGACAAGGAAGGACTTACTCCTGCTGTTTTGCTGTTTGTATTCTGTATATATTATAGCTTATTGTCCTTCATTTCATCCACTTATGCCTTTTTTTTTTTTTGGCCATGCTGCACAGCTTGTGGGATCTTTTTTTTATTTCTCATTTTTTTTTTTTTTATTTTAAATTTTATTTTTTTTTTGCTGCTCCACGGCATGTGGGATCTTCCCAGATGGGGGCATGAACCCGTGTCCTCTGCATAGGCAGGCGGACTCTCAACCACTGCACCACCAGGGAAGCCCAGCTTGTGGGATCTTAATTCTCCAACCAGAGATTGAACCCAGGCCCAGGCAGTGAAAGCTCCAAGTCTTAACCACTGGACCAGTGAATTCCTGATTTATGCCTTCTTTTATGTTTAGTTTCTATTTTTCTAGTGAGCTGTTTTGATTCTTTTTTCATTTCCTTTCGTGATGGTTTTTAGAGACTTTCTTTGTGGCTACCATGGAGATTCATATAACATCTTAAATTTAAAATGATCTATATTAAATTAATACCTACTTAACTTTTAACTATGCTGCTTCTATACATCTCTGTCCTCCCTCCCTTATGTTGTTGTCATAAATTATATCCTTATACATTGTATGCACTATAACATAGATTTATAGTTATTTTTATGTCATTGTCTTTTAAATTCTGTAGGAAGTAAAAGGTAGAGTTACAAACCAAAAATACAATAATACTTGTTTTTGTATTTGCCCATGTATTTACCTTTACTGGAGATCTGTATTTCTTCATGACTTCAGTTACTTTTTTTTTTTCCTTCATTTCAATCTGAAGGAGTTCCTTCAGCATTTCTTATAAGACAGGCCTAGTGATAACAAATTCCCTCAGCTCTTCTTTATCTGTAAATGTCTTAATTTCTCTTTCATATTTGAAGGAGAGTTTTCTGG